TCAGATGATTGTCTATCACAACATCAAGTATGTGCATTTTGGTCATTGCTTAGCTTTGGGATACATGTTTTATTATCAATGTACTTCCACAGTCCCAGTGCCTCATTATTTTTGTCCCATTTTGGTTCACCACTTTTTTTTTCCAAAACATATTTGGTAAGACATATTTGAGTGTGGTAGGTAGATTGGGCTTAGACTGTGCAACAGTAGCAATATCGGTGATCCATCTGCATATAGCTTTTGATTTGCACACTTTGGGATACTAAAATTTTACGTGGGAACTAAAACTTTGGGAAACTAAAATTTTATTTCGTTGTGCTTTTTAGTATTTCCAAAAAACAAAATTAGGAGTATTGCTCATTTGGGTATGATTGTGGGTATAGAGAAACACATCTTCTTTGCATAAGCAAGCAGAAGACTTCTTAGAATGTTATTATCCCCTTTGTCATATGGAATTTTATTATTTTGTACCTCAGTCTTTCCTTAGGTTGTGTGCTGGATGTAAGGGGCATGTCTTCTTGATTTGTCTGCTTGCCAATAGATGTAGCACATAATTGTTTATATCTGTCTATCTGGCAATTGCAATTCCTTTAAGATTATTTTAAAAATGGTATATGTCTTGATAGTGGAGTAACTGTTAGTCAATGCAACGTTCGACGCTGATCATGGGTCATCTGGAAACAGCTGCTCTATGTTTTAACATAGGGGTCAGGCTGTGTACATCCGACCCCCCTTACCCTGTAATGGACGGGAGCTTTTGAAGCACCGGGGTAGTGTTGTTGTATCTCAGAAATTTTCTTTGATTGACGTGCAGGACCATGTCCCTGAAGACAACTCTTGCCAACTTTTAGTATCGGATGAATCACAACTCAATCGGGAACAGCAATTAGAATTTGAAGCTGGATCCTTTAGGGGGGATGATGCAAGACCAATTACACATTCGAATTGTGAATCTGCCCCGACTGAAAATAGTGAGTCTCCACAACCTCAAGGTGGCTTTTCTAATATATCTGATCAACCTCCCAGTGAAGCTGCATGTGCGACACCTTCTAATCGGGAGACCAATGATTCACGTCCCTCCGAACCTTCATCTGTATCGGTTGATTTTCCTAACGTGACACTTCATCAGAGTCAGACAGGTTTAGCAGCAAGTAGAATCAGCTGCCATTCTAGCGGTGATTTATACTGCACCCTTCCTCATAACACCACTACTAGTCTCCCCCATGAAGTGAGGATATCAAGTGAGGTTCATAACCAATCGTCTATGCAACCTTCTTATATGGGCTCGGTTCCTGGACCTACCAATGCTCACACGAATCATCCCCATTTTATGTCTCCCGTAAACCTGCCTGCTCGTGTTCCGGTTAATCCTCTTTCCAAGGAACTGGAAAGGATAAACAAAGAAATAGAACAAGCTGTGAAGTCCCATGAAGATTGGGTAATTCTTCAATTTCTTAGATTATGTTTGGGGGTAGAGACATTGTATGAATTATGAAAAGGGGAAAAAGTAACAGGGGGAGATGATTTTTTAATGTTAGAGTTTAAGTTACAAACTAAGAAGGAAAAACAAATTTGATTAAGACTTTTTTAGATTTACGTATATTTTATGTTATCAGTATTTTCATAATAGAAATGTTTTAACAGAAGGTGCAGCACAGATCTGATTGTGAGAAGGAAATACAAGAAATGGTTGCTCAGATTTGTAGAAGATATGAGTCAAAATTTCAGGAGACTGAGGCAGCTTTTTTGAAGAGGAAAAGTGAACTAGAAGGGAATCAAAACAAAGTTCTTATGCACAAGATATTGGCAGAAGCTTACAGATCCAAGTGTCGGGAGCCCAGGTCTGCTGTGCTTCCACAATCGCAGCAAGGTATGATAAATTTTTTTCATATGCTGTGACGCAACATGTTATTTGTTCTCATAAGCATAGAGCATAATTGCATTTAAGTGCTCCATCCGTCCCAAAAAAGAGTCATGTTGTAGTGTTTGGTGAATGTAGAAGTCTTTAATATTGGCATAGTAAACCAGTTAAAGGACATGGATTCATATTTATATTTACTGATAAATTTTATTTGTTGTTTTAACTACAAGTATCATACTTCTTTTGGCACATGATTTGAAACATGACTTCTTTGTCACGGCAGGGTATTATATGAACAATATTCCAGGCAGGTTTTTTACTATGTGGCTACTAAAAGTGTCTTTAAAATTTGGTCATTTTTAGGTATAAGTGAGCTTTGAGCATAAGTGGGCCAAACCATTTTATGAGAAACTGAATCTTTCTCGTCTTAAAAAACTTTTTTTCAGTTTTTACCATTTTATTTTGGCATTTTTATACTGATGTGTTATTTTTGGTGCAATTACAACTGAACATTCCATTCTCCTCTGCAGCTAAACCTCCCGGTTATTTGCTGCTGCAGCAGCAGCAGCTACAAAATGCATCAATGCTTCATGCATTGAGAACTTCTTCTCCCTCTGTATTTCTTCCAGCTTCACACCAAACATCTAATCCGCCGGGTTTTTCTCTAAGGACACAACTATCTGTCCCCAGTTTTTCGTCTCAAGCTGTCCAACCCCAACAAATGGTTGGCCACCAGCATGCTTCTTCTGTCCCGTCACCTTTCTCCTGGGCATATAATAATAACCCTTCCCCCAACATCTTCAGATCCATCTGCCCCTCTGCTACTGCTACTCAGCCTACTCTATCATCTTCTGTTCCCGCACGACCGCCGCTCATTGGTGACATGTCGCCTTTCGGGGGTAACACGAGGATATCTGTTGGAGATATGCGTGCACGTGCACCGGCCCCGCACCTTCACTTATTCAGACCTGTAAGTATCCCAAGTGCTGCCACCACCACAACTGCACCCCTCCTCCCTCGGGTGCCACCTCAGTTGCCACAGGCAGTGTCTTTTCGGCTTCCTCAACAGTTGGTTGCAAACGAAAACACGGAAACCAATAATAATACTCTCCCTCATTTGCCAGAAATCAGCACAAGTGCTGCCACCACGCCTGCACCCCTCCCTCAGCTGCCACAGATAGTGCCGTTTCGACTTCCTCAACAGTTGGTTGTAAATGACACCACGGAAAACAACAATATTCTCCTTCCCTTACCAGAATTCGACGCAGCATTTGATATGATAGACTTGTCCGAGTTTGGAATAATGGATAATACCTCATCAGCTCAAACAAATGCCCCCACGGATGTCGTCTATCTCTCTGATGACGATTGACCCATACATTTTGAATGATCCGTCTGTCCTTTAATAAGTGTTTTTGTCCTCGCAGGGATTGGCATTCGTGCCGTGGATGACATGAATTGAAGATCATCCACCCCGGCCCCTCTGCTCCCCGCAGGTTATTTAATACAGTAAAACCTCTATAAGAATATCCTTGGGATGCATGTTTTCAGTATAGTGGCCATACTAACATAGAAGTTATTCTTACATATGGTAATACAGTATTATTACTATATATATAGAGGTTTTATTGTATCTGTGCACATTCTTCCCCCATTTTTTCCCCATTTTGTTTTGGCTGCACTGGGAAGAATCCACCAGCGTTTGTGTAAATATATGCATCTTTTCTGTATTCATATTTTGAGTAACCACTCTTCCTTTCCTCTGTAATGGGGGAAAACGGTGCTCCAGTGATTGCAGCATTTCTTTATCTTTAATAAACTTTTGCTAATATTTATTTAATACTCGGGTATTAATTAAAAATTATTTCATGAGATATATATATATATATATATATATATAAGTTAGTCGTTTTATTTTGTTTTAACATGTGATTCTTTGGACAAAATAGTCTCCAAACATGGGTTTTCTTTTATGAACCATGCTAAAATGTTTCAAGTTTAACATTACCGTTTGTATATTTGTTTTCATGGAGTGCAATTATCGACAAATATATAAAGTTATGTTGGGCAAGACAATTGTCATATGGCTGATTTTTTTTTAAAGAAGAATTACAGCAAGGTTTCTAGGAACCGATATTAGATTTGTCTTTTTTTATCCTTAATTTTAAAATGTAATCGAGACCGAACAAAGTCTAATTTGACTAGTCGAAAGATATACATTTATATACATATGCAACAATTTTGTTTTACACAAGGTATCTCAATTGGGGTAATCCATTTGTAGGCATTCACTGACACATAAATTCTCTATGTCTATGTAAGCATATATATAGAATTTATGTGTGTATGTGAATGCCTCAAGTACAAATGAGATACTCCCTCCGTCCCAAATTATTTGCTACATTTGTATTCCCAAGGCAAAATATTGAGTTTTTTCAATTCATTTTATTTACATATTGATATAGAAACAAAAAATAAAATTTACGTATAAAAAAACTACATGAAAAGTTCTTTGAAATAAGATGTGTCAAGAATATTTTGTTTTATCAAATAACCAATAAAAATGTCGAAATAAACAAAATTTCCCGCGACTGTTGAAAAAGCAAATGTTGTGAGTATTTAGGAACGGAGGGAGTATCTCATTTTGGGGTGCATCTAGCATTGCCCTAAGTTAAAATATACAAACTATATTTTGTGCTTTCAATACAGCTTCTGTTTCAATAAAAGCATTATTGTTGCATAATACTTCCTCTTTCGTCTCAAATTATTTTCTTGATTGGGTTTGACACAAATTTTAAGAAAAGTAAAATTAGTTGTTGAAAAGGGTGTATAGGATAGAAAAAGACATTGAATCACAAAAACATTTTTAAACAGATTTTTTTTGGGACGTCCAAAAAGAAAAACGTGAAGGTTAATTTGGGTTGGAGAGAGTAAAATACTCCGTAATTAAATAGCACGGATGTGATAAATTAGGACAAAAAAACGATTTTTGTGTTTTTAGATTGTAAAAATAAGCTATTGCAGAAAATTAAAATAAATTGTTTGGGCCAAAGATTGGACCGAATCAAATTCGAACCATTCGACGGGCCGATCACTATCAGTATAAGTCCAGGCCCATCATCTTCCCTATGTGACCCGAGCGAAGCAGAGTTTGAAACTCTCCTCCTCTGCATTCTACCAGCCAACACTCTCCTTCCTTCTCCCTCGCACAATTTGGAGGCAGATGGCCGGAAAATTCAGTGCGGCACCGGAGACGTATTCTCCGTTTCCATCACAGCGAAAGGAGAAAGCATCGGCTCCCGCCGGCGACGATTGGGTTCGTTCGGACGGCCGTCACTTCTACGGGTGCCGCGAAGCATGTATGCGCACACACACTCTCTCTCTTTCTCTCCAGCATACTAGTTTTTTTATGAGCGTTCATGAAATTATTTCTATGGTTTATTTATGAATTAGTAAGTTCGTTGTTGCATAAGTTACACTTAAACCTTATCTTGTCTCCCTTGCCTCTAAACGTTTCCAGGAAGAGAATTGATTTCTGCAGATTTTATTGTGTCCGAAACATTTTCTGCATAGAATGAACAATATAAAAATGGATGGAAGATGAAATAAGAAATAAGACAATTAACTAGTGGCTGTAAAGAAGGATATGGATTTGATAGAAATATGTCTTCTAGGTTTAATTATGCTCCATTACTTCTAGAGTTAATTAAAAATACTTCCCATATTTATTAAAAGTATAATCTATTGGATTTTTCAGTGCTAAACACTGGTGCAGTGAAAGCAGCTTCAGGATCTGCTTATGCAGAATTTGGAAATACTAAGGTCATTGTTTCAGTGTGAGTGTTTAAATAGCTTTTTCTTTTGCTGCTATATTTTTCTATACTTTTGAATTCAAGCACTTCAGTTATTCAGTGCATCTTGCTGCTGTTTCATGTGCATCCCAAGTCTTTCTCTTTTTCTGATACTGTACTTTGCCATAAGAGGTTTCATTGAAAACATTGGGTAAAAACATCAGGGCTTTGATGATTCTCTTTTGCTGTGTGCTCTCTTTCTATTTCACAAAGCTGCAATGAATTTATTCCAGTTCTGTGCTTTTCTTTACTTCTCATGTTCTCCATCAATTTCCTTCATATTTTTCTCTCATTCTTGCTTTAACAATTGCATCTTGCCCCTACACAAACTTGCTTTCCTTCTTACATCTTTATGATGTTTTGGGTAGTAAATGAAGTGGTGTCTCAAGGGTCTAATGTAAACAAGTCAAGGGTAAGAGTTGTGTGCATTTTGCACCCCTTAGATCCCAATGGAGTTGGGATTATATTGAGTTTTATTGTTGTTTTCTAGGAGTCTTCAACAGTTGAATCTTGTAATCATGTCGGCTTGTTGATATTTTCTTTATTCTTCAATAAATTTAGGTCAAGTCAACCGCCTTTCCTTACATTAAGAAGTGCTATTTTGGTAAATTTAGTAAATGATATGTCAAAGATCGGGTGAATGCCAAATCTATTTGTATATATTTCACGACACCAGTGGCATGTACACACTGGTTCATGCAGTAGTATATACTCGTAATAAAGAGTTGTTCTATTGTGGTCCTGAGGTTTACATGTGAAATAATGGCCTTTCGTATATTTTTCATAGGCTCATGATTGAATTTCTTTTCTTTTGCAAGACCCACTATAGATAATCATTTTATGTGTCAAGGTCCATAAAATAAGTATGCAACTAAGGACTATGAAAGAATTTGCCTATAATAAATAGTTTGGAATTAGCTGTAATGTGATAAAGATACCCTTGCAACATGAATGAATGAATACAATCAGTACACGATTACAACATGAGTATTTTCACAATTAGAAGCAAGTTGAAATCAAGTTGCATTCCAATATAGAGGTAAAAAAAGCACTCCCTCCGTCCAAGTTGTTTCTTTTTCGTTTTGGCTAGGCACGATTTTTAATGTAAAATGAAGAACCTATTGACTTTCCAATTTTGTCTTCCTCATGTAAAACAATGCCGCACACCATCTCTCCAATTGTTGATTTTGACCTCTGGCCACAACCCCGATTGCCATCTAGGAGTTTGAATTGAAGTGCTTCTAAACTCCCTCCCTTTATCCTCTAGGCGCACCGTAATTGGTGGTGAATTCCTCATTGTTGCTGCTAATGGAATCAATTGAGGAAATACTTCAAGCTTTGAATGACAGAGGAACAATCAAAGCCAAAATATATTTGTTGCCGACTTATCAGTGAGACTCATCGTGCGGTTGAGGAACCATGTCTCCGCCGTAGCTACACATCAGCCTCATCTTTCTGCTTCTTGTAGCGGCAACGTTAGGTTCCGGCTCACCCTAGGATTCTTGTTGCGGAACGAGGCGACGAATCCACTCAGTGATAGTAGTTGTGAGTAATACTGTAGACAGCCGCTGGGGAGAGGCGATGACCGTGGTAGTGGAAGGTTGTTCCACCGCCACTGGGGAGGGGCGAGATGTCCATAGAAGATCATAGTGAATTTGTATGCATGTGGGTGCGAGCCAAGGGGAAATGGGTCTTTTAGGTTTTATTTGTTGCCGTTTTTGGAAATGGAAAGAAAGATATGAAACGGCCCAAAAAGGAAAATGTGAAGAGAGATATGGGATGGAGGGAGTAACATTTAAGAGAGTGGATTTTTAGATTGCTTTAGCATCTTTAGGGCTGTGTGGTACTGTGTTGATTGACTAATTTTGTTGTCCGTTGGTTCAGATTTGGGCCAAGGGAGAGTAAGAAAGCAATGACGTACATTCATACAGGGAGGTTGAATTGTAATGTTACTTATGCAACTTTTTCCACTCCTATTCGTGGGCAGGTATGGTTGAGACCAATCTCGGGTTTCCATCACACGAGCTGTTCTTACCCATTCATTCTTTTCTCTGTCTGACATCTAGTGATTGTAAAACTCTCGATTGGATATTGAAATGTTCTTTTGTAGTGTAGTCAGCAGAGAATAAAGAGCTGTCCTCAATGCTGCACAAAGCTTTGGAAGGTGCCATAATGCTTGACTCATTTCCAAAGACCACTGTGGATGTATTTGCGTTGGTTTTGGAATCTGGTGGCAGTAAGTTACATATTGTTTTATGTATCATTTTTTGTTTTGATGCAATAGCTGTTATCCTACTCTATGTTATATTATAGATCAGGAGTACTTGAATTTTATACAGAGCAAAAATTATACCGGAGCTATATTGTTTTACTACATTATTACTTGCTTAGAGATATACTCCTTTTGTTCAAAGAAAAGAGTCATCTTTTAATCTTGTTTGTTTAAAAGTTCTAATTGAATAAAAGATATGCTTATTCTCATAATATTTGATGTTTTTTAAATAAGAAGTTGGGTTTTGTGAATTTAGTAAAACGAACCTATACATTTTAAAATATCAGATATATTTTGTGATTTTCATTACTTGTACCTTGCTAAAATTCTAGAGTTGTACCTTTGTGAAACAATCTTCATTTAATGGGATTATGGGAACTGAGGGAGTAATAAGATCAAGTTCAGTATGCTGACTGTAATCTCAATGTATTTGATGGTAATCTAATTATTGGATTAGACAAATTTAATTAAAAGGCTAAAAGCACATTGCATTTTTTGCATCTTAGTCCTCAATCTCCAGTTTAATCATACATAGCACGTGTTTTACTTGCAGGCGATCTTCCTGTAATTATAACGTGTGCTAGCCTAGCGTTAGCTGATGCAGGGATTTTGCTGTATGATTTGGTTGCCGCAGTTTCTGTGGTACTCACACATCGAAAAACTCTCCCTTTTTATACTTTATATTTTAATCTTATGATGACGCTATTACAAATATACAGTCTTGTGTGGGAAAAAACCTACTCATAGATCCGACTTCGGAAGAGGAAAGCTTGCAAGATAGAAGCTTAACGATGTCATGTATGGCATCGCGCAAGGAGATCACTCAATTGTTCTTCACCGGGGAATGGACCACCCCAAAGTTGAATGAAGTATGGCTTCCTCAGCCTAAGCTGTGTGTGTGTGTGTGTGTTTTGCATATTTGAATATAACTCTGAACTTCTGCAGGCAATGGAGCTATGCATTGAGGCATGTTCAAAACTAGGGAATAACATGAGAGCTGCTTGCTTGGAGCACTGTGTCCCTTCTGAATAGTCAGTCCCAAGAGTGTTTTTAGGATATAGTGCTATGGGTATGCAGGCTTTATGTGCCCCCCCCCCCCAATTCTTTCCTCCCTATCTTTTTTCCCATTAAATTATGCAACTTCACCAACATTTTTTTTTCATGAGTAGGAACAATTTGGATGTCTGGCGCTATTTGTTGTTGTTGGCTTAAATGGTACTGTAGTTCAGAATTGGAAAGTATAAATGGTTTTTATAAAGAATGAGTCCCACCCCCGAGGGCCCCTCAGACCCGATCAGGCTGTTATTGAAAGAAGGTAAATTGGACTTTGATCGTATCTGGTACTTGCAGTGTTTTCAACGCAGTTGCCAAGAATTGAACTTGGTATAAATGGTTTTTAAGTTGATATATGTGAAACAAAATTGTTCGGAATTGACGATGATGACATTTATGAAGAAACAAACTTTGATCCTCAATTTAACACTATTTAACACTGTATGAGAGTTTTTTTCAAGATAAATCTAATGAAACAATCGTAAACTTGGTGTTAACCATCAGAAAAGTCTTCACGCTGGGACAAGCTTTTTATTGGCTTTTTATTGAATTGGCAAAACTACTTCCTCCCTTTTGAATTGATCTTTACCGTTTGACTTCATGGAGATAAAAAGAAGAATGTTGAAAGTGGAAAATGGGTGGTGGGAATTGTACATACATCTTCTGATCTTCCATACCAAAATAATTGATGACTATTAATTTTTTTTTTAAAAAAAAAGAGTTGTTGAAACTTTAGGAAAAATTGTGGGTAATAAATTTATTTTATTTTATTAGAAAAGCTAGAGAATTATACAATTCTTTTGGGACAAAATGAAAGGAAAATGAAATGTTTAATTCGAGATAGACAGAGTATTTGATTTCCTCAAATAGAATATGAAAAAGTGTAAAGTTATTTTGATATAAACAAAAAATGATTGTAATTTGAAGAAATATTCTACTCCAAGTACTATTTTGTAGGATTTTCTTACATGAAGACCACTTGTTAACATAACATTTTTTTCTTGTTTTAAAGTAGATTCTCTTTCTTAGCCAAGGCAAGAAAAATGACCTCGGGCTAGGTTCAAATTTGGCTCTGATTCCGTACTTATACAGGTCTAATATTAACACTATAGAGTCCAAACTAATACACTCTTAGAGTCAAACATGACTCCACAAAAGTCTTCTTTATTGAAAGTATTCTATATAAGGGGAAATGCACCACAGCCCCTTATGGTTTCAAAAAGGAGCTCCAACACCTCTTCGTGGTTTTAAAAGTAACTTATAATATACCTATGGTTTGTAAAGGATGCAGATGCACCCCCCATCTAGAAGTAACTTATACTATATTTTTTTTAAATTAATTTTTTTTCTTAATTTCTCAACTTTGTTCCTTTATTATTTTTTTTAAATAATTTTTTTTCTTTATTTCTCATAATTGAATAACAATTTTTTTTATAGAAACCAGCAAGTTAATTACATATAATGAAACAAACAATCTAATAATGATAAAATTCATAACTAAAATAATTATTTATTAACTTTAAATAATGCACCATGCACCGAAATTAAAATAAGAAGTAAGTCACAACAAATTTATTGATAGAGTACATATAATTTATTCATTCATAAAAATAAGGTTACAAAATACATGTCATAACTAATTTATTTTGTGAAATTCATAAAACATAAACTTAGACATAATTGAAATCCATGATATAGCTATTGTTCATAGCGACGTCGCCGTGGTCGGTAGTCCATGTTATTCGGATATCGAGATGAACTACTGACTACGAAATCCGAATAACATGGACTACCGACCACGGCGACGTCGCAATGAACAATAGCTATATCATGGATTTCAATTATGTCTAAGTTTATGTTTTATGAATTTCACAAAATTGAGCTTTCTTGTACTGTTCAAATGATATTGGATTAGGAAAAATCCCTAATCCATCAAATAATTATTTTATTTATGAATTTTATCATTATTAGATTGTTTGTTTCATTATATGTAATTAATTTGCTGGTTTCTATAATTCTTTTTGTTATTCAATTATGAGAAATAAAGAAAAAAATTGATTTAAAAAAATAATAGAGGAACAAAGTTGAGAAATTAAGGAAAAAAATGATTTAAAAAAAATAGTATAAGTTACTTCCAGATGGGGTGCATGTGCACTCTTTACAAACCAGAGGTATATTATAAGTTACTTTTAAAACCACGAGGGGTGTTGGAGCTCCTTTTTGAAACCATAGGGGGCTGTGGTGCGTTTCTCCCAAAATCCCATTCTATATAAGCTCTTGTAAGTTAGTCTTTTTTATATAACTTTTTTGTTAAATAAAAAAATACTCGTAAAAAAAGGATATGAGAAGACCCAAGAAAGAAAGGGAGAAATAAATTATACTCCGGAGTATATCTATTCCTAAATGAATTAGATTTTATGTAGAATGAAATAAATTTTAATTTTTTTCAATTCATTTCATTTTAATCACTATTATAACAATATAAAATAAATTTACAAATTTAAAAAATATATAAAAATTTCTACTCCCTCTGTCCCATTTTATAACGCCTGCTTCGGTTTACGATGTTTGACTGAAACTATTTTCAAATCATTTTATATGACAAATGGTATATAGTTAAAAAATAAAAATTATATATTAAAATACTACATCAAAAGATCTACAAAACTAGTAGTGACAATAGTACTTTATTTTATCAAATTGCTAACGAACATAAAAAAAGAAAGTGAATAAAGTTTGACCCTGTAAATAGTGATAATGTATTATAATTTGGGACAGAGAAAGTATATAATAAGAGGGTACAAAAGTTTCCATGATTTGGAAAGATGAAAATTATGGTAAGAAGAAAGAGTAGTAGCGTCCGGTCCTAGCGCTTTCCACCTGGAACCAACCCGGTTGGTGTTTTCTTGAATTTGGATTCTTTTATTAGGGTTTTCCTGCGACCTTCTTCATCCCACTCCTTCACTCAGACATCTGTCCTTATCACTTTCCTCAGNGTAATTTTGTCTGTTTCATCTTTGCTTCCTCTGTCAATTACTCAATTGTTGTCTGGTCCGTTGTCGGTCTTCTCTCTTTCACTCTTCTATTAATTTTGTGTCAAAAAGAATCTTTTGGTGTTCTTATCGAATTGTTTTACAGATTTTTTTGGTGGGTTTAGCTTGTTTTGTGTGTTTATTATGTACTCCGTATATCTTTAATTTGATTTAACACTTTTGATCACTTTAATTTGTTCATACCCATCAAGAGAATAAGTTCTTATTCAGAGTGGGTTTTCACTCTCACAGTTTCTCTCTCTCGGATTACATCATTTGCTGTTGTTTTGGGTGGATCATATCAGTCAGTGATTCTTCTTTGATTCTTTCGGACTGTAGGGATATACAGAGAAGCTGTTGATCGAGGAAATTCCAGATTGATTGGATCACTAACTTAGGTTTGTTCCTAAATCTGTGATGTTGAATATAGACTCTGGTATTCAGTTTGATTTCACATTAGCATTATGCTGAAATGACCTGTGCTGTCTTTTCAAGAGTTTGGATCTCATTATATGTTGGTTAGAGTGATTGCTTTAGTATTCAATTGAAGCTAGGACTAGGGCAATAAGTATTGTTGAATTCAATATTAGAGAGAAGTAAACTTTACAGATTTAGATTGAACATTCACAAAAATGATTGTCAGTGTAGCTATGTACTATGGCTTGTTGAGGATATAGTTTCACATTGAATACCCAACTTAAAAAAGATTTACTCCTCTCATTGTCAATTGATTTTGGGTTGGAATCCCATAATTCTGTATGGACTATGGCTAATATCTGTATGTCTTATCCCGTGCGTCTACATTAGTTTATTTCAAGCATAAAAGTTTATGTCTATTGTTTTTGCATGGAAGAGAACTAGAGAAGTGTTTTTAAGGTGGGTCACACCATTTCCCAAAGCTTAGATAGGAGGAGAAAGGGTGAATTAGGGAAAGTAAGATGTTAGTTATGTTCAAATTATAGAACTGAACATAAACTTCTTGAGGTCAGAGTATCATTATCTTCACAAAGGTCTTCGCTAAATGCCACTTTCTTAGTTGCCACCATATGCTTGTAGATGCATAGCAATGTTTAATGGGCTTGGTCTAGCTGCCAAATGCATTCCCATTAAGTTTTAAACTATGATGCATGGAAACCAAAAAATGAGAACTTCAAAATGGCATCTTTCAAAAGAATAGGAAGTGGACCGAGATGCAAGTGTTACGTATATGATCAAGAATAAGATTTTAAAGTAAAGGCACCTTTAGTCCAAATGTGTCCTTTATGTTTATTCATTTTTGCTATTGACCAGGGTGTGCAAGTGTGCATAGCCATGAAAACAATACAAACTCATATTCCTCAATCTTTCTGAGTTGTTGGGTTTTGTAACTGAACTTTATATTTGTCACTCTGCATCTTGCGTATTCTGATATTACCTGATGGTCGGACTTAAAAGGCAATTATATATAGTCACACATTGTGTGGGTCTTTTGGTCTTTTTACAGCTCAGCTTGTTCATGTTCTGCAATAGCTTCACCACATTTTTGTCTTTTGGCTATGACAATGTTTTTTTTCTAACAGGGCACATTTTGGTGGGTGAAAGTGTTATATTTTTAATCCTCAGTAAACTAGAAATCATCGTTATTGTTATTATATACTTAAAAAAAGAGGATTAATAGTAATGTGTTTAGCTATGCCATTAGATTTGCTAAGTCTCTGATGCTGGATATGTTTATTACCCCTCAAGTTTCTTGATTTTGCATGTCTTATTATATTAGATAGTGTTCAATCAAAGTTCTTCTATCATTATTCTTGTAGATTATCTGAGGTAATAAAGTATGCCCTTTTACTCATTAGTCATTCCTCTATTGTATGCTGATAGAAGGATAATGTTTCAGGTTCTTCTATCAATAGAAGCATTAAGTATTACACCCTTCTTATAGCCCATTGTCACACTTCCTTCGAGATGAATTGCCAATATGGAGAAAATCACGTAAGCTTCTAATCTTAGACCTGCTTGGTGGGTGAAATTTGGCCAAAATGGTAATGGTTTAAATTGCTGGTGGTATTGTGGTTGAAATTACTAAATGGTCTGAATTAATTAAAAATGTATTCTTTAATGGGCAAGGGTCTTTTGACACCCACACTTGGTGTCATAATATTACACCGAGCCATTTGGGGGTACTACTGTGCTCCCTAACCCCCACCCCTAGCCCCCCGATTGCCCCGATATGCTAGAGCACTGTAGCATATTGGCGATCCATAAGGGGGGTTAGGGGTGTTGGAGGCAGGGTGCATGGAAGCAGTAGGTTTTTGGGGTGGGGGGTAAGACTCACTTCGGGGCCAATGGAAGACGTAGGGCCCTGGTGTCATAATATGACACTCAAACCTGATGACACAAGAACTTTTTCTGTTCTTGTCAAAATATGACGGCGGAATGGTTGTCTTGCATCTTCATTTTAGCGAAAATTAAATAATTTGATTGATAAGTTAGGGTTTGGTAGGACAGAGAAGGAGCCAAAGGAATAGATGTTATGAATCTTTTGATGTGGTGTGGGTACAGGATGAATTGACTGTGGTGGGGTTTGAAGTTCCGAGATCCCCGGATTCAAGCTACAACAATGTGTACCGCGGGAACGAAGACGAGGGGCGGGACCCACCTTTATTCCCTCCGCATCTCCACCAGACCGTCCTGAACGACCCGACAAAAGGTGATCAATCCTCTCCTCCACTCCCTTCGCCGCAGAATGTGGTCCTAAACCACCTTTACATTGAGAACAACAACAGAGAGACACCAAGAACCGTTGTGGCCCTAGGTTCAACCCACCGGTTCCGCTCAAAATACGTCACCGTTGTGCTTTACAAACCAGTCCCGAGAAGGGTAGGCGGCGGCGCCGCTGCCTAAAATGCTGTTTTATAATTTAACATTTTTTTAGATTGCACAATTCCATCTTTAGTTTTTGTGTATATATTCATTTTAACTTTGATAAGTTTTTTTTTTGTATGTCGTATTTGGAGATTTGCTAGATTCACCAATGGTACATCTATTATGGTTGCACACCACATTCTCTTTTGAAATCTTTTTCTTTACTATTCACATGATTAAATTATGCTTTCTATGTGTCTAGTTAATTGACACACTTTGATTTCTTGGAGTCTAAGTAAAAACATTGATTTCTAGGAGTCAAAGTAAAAAGGTTGAAAAAGAAAAAGTGGATAATTAAGTTTTGTTTAGAAGAAAAGAGTTATTTAAAACTGTTTCCAATATGGTCTAGTCTGATATTAATAAGAATTTTGATTAAGTAATACTCTTTCAGTTGACAAAAAAACTTTCCGAAGTAATAAACAATTAGTACTCGTAAATAATAAGAAAAAGTTGAAGACATTAGACTCTTGATGAGGATAGGAGGAATTATAAATTCATATATGTTAGTGTCACAAGTAAAATGTCACAAAATTATTCAAATTTTTATTTTTTAATTATTTAAGATTATTTTATTCTTTTGGTAGGACTCAAAAATGGTAAATATCTAAATTTTATGACTTTTTTTATTCCTAAGTCTAACATTTCTTTTATCCAACCTCCACCATAAAACCATATTTTTAGTTATTATTAACCGTATCAAAATTTATTTTTATTAGTCATTGGGTTAAATAATATATTTATATCACATTTAGTTTTATATAACTTTTAATATGATTATAATATATAAATTTATTTTTAAATTTTAAATGGAAAGTTAGTTTTAAGAGGGGAGAAATAAGGGTCTATTTCGTTCAACTTATTTTTTTTAGCTTAGTACTTATTATTATAAAAATCAGATTAAATCATATTTAATTAGATTAGATGAGATCTAATTAGATCAGAAACAATTATAAATATAATTATAATTAGATTAGATCAAATCAAACAAAAAACAAATCAACTTAAATCTTATGTTGCAAATTTTAATGTCATCAATTCAAATTGTGGTCAATTTTTGTTCCCTTTGTTTTCTTTAATGAGGGGTTAAAAGTTACGTAAAACTTGAATAAAGGTGACAGAGAATGGACTAATGGGTCAAGAGGAATTTCTCGAGCGTGGAGACCGGATACCCCACTTTGATTTCATTCTCTCTCTCTCACCGCAGAGCACATCACCCTTCTTTCTCACTCTTTCTCTGTTCTTGAATCCTCATTTCGTAAGTGCATCCATGGCTGCTACCTCTTTTCTTCCTCTATATATCATCTTCTTTCCGGCTATTCATATTATTCATTCATGCTCTTAATGCTTCTGGTTCTTCCATTTTCTTAGTTCCTACTGCTTTTGTTGGTGCTGTTTTTAACTTTCTTTTGCATGTATGGACTGTGGTTTTAGGCTCTTGGGGTTTATGGTCTTGGTGGGAACCTAAAGTTTCGATCTTTGAACTTCACAGACATCATCTGCAGATACCCATTTCTTGATTTTGATTATAGTCGAAGTTTCCGATCATATACCTATAGTACCTTCTTTCTGGTGTCTGTGTTTTTCTGCTGATATTTGATAACTTGATTCATGTTGTTAAATGTTTTTTGTTAAAAATTTCGTGCAGGATTTATGCTGGGAATGCAGTGTAATCGAAGGTTTATATATAATGCTGATCTGTACTGAATAAAAAGAAAATCTTGAAAGATGGAAGAAATACAATCTCAATTGGATCAGTACAGATCTTCATCATCTTCAGCAAGTAGTCCCTCGAATCGGGTACCATCATCATCAATCAATAATTTCTTTTACTCTAGGAGGCCCGGTACAATCAGGCAACCGATCTCCTTCGAAGATTCGCCCGTCTGGGATGACACTGACATTGAGGTTAAAGTGGATGACGGGGGCGAATCTGTCAATCTTGCAGCTGCTCAGGTCTCCCCATTCCTTGCAAGACTTAACAGCGAGACGTTGGCACCAGTGAAGATGACTGTTTCTGGTGCTTCGGTTGCTTGGAAAGACTTGACGGTTACCATAAAGGGTAAGAGGAAATACTCGAATAAGGTGATCAAGACTTCAAGTGGCTATGCATTGCCAGGAACTATGACTGTCATCATGGGTCCCGCCAAGTCGGGAAAATCAACACTTTTGAGAGCTCTTGCAGGTTTGTTGTAGCTTGTAATCAAGTGATGACTGGGAGTGTACCTCACAAATGGAACCTGAAACAGTTTTTGTTTATCTCCTTAAGGTAGGTTGCCTAATTCAGCCAAAATGTATGGTGAAGTGTTTGCAAATGGCTCAAAGTCTTACATTCCATATGGATCTTATGTAAGTTTCCTCTTTAATTTGTATGGTTTCTAACTGAAAGGTTTTACAGATTCTGCATCCTTTTTCCCTTTTTCTTGGAGATCTATCGATTAGGTGTTAGTTTATAGGCAGTGCCATAAGGGTAATGCCGGGATACACCCACTCAGGCCACCCTACACAAACTTGTGGGTCCCCATGGGGTTGTTGCAATTGAGGCAGAAAATTTCAGGGAAAGAAAACAGGAAGGAAAACATTGACGGAAATAGAAAGGAAGGGAAATGTGGTGGAAAAAAAGATGAACATTTTATTTATTTAGGTATATACTCCAGAGTATTATATAAAGACTAAGAAAGCTTAAGCTTGTGATTGATTGTAGTAGACCCAAGCAAAAGAAAATAACTTTCCTTTCCATAGCATTTGCCTGAACTATCCAATGCATCCCAACTGCATCTTTTTTTGTTGATCAATAGGGATTTGTTGAGAGGGAAACAACACTTATAGGATCTTTGACAGTTCGCGAGTTCCTCTACTACTCGGCATGGCTTCAAATCCCACATTTCTTTTGGCAGACAAAGGATGTGGTTGAGGATGCCATCGTTGCAATGTCACTGGGAGATTGCAGTGACAAACTAATCGGCGGTCACTGTTGCATGAAGGGCCTTCCAAAGGGTGAGAAAAGGCGCGTTAGCATTGCTAGGGAACTTGTGATGAGGCCACATGTTATGTTCATAGATGAACCCCTTTATTGTCTCGACAGGTTTGCCTCTCGTTCTACTTGTTATTTTGTCCTGAAAAAAAATCATTTTTCTCATGATTATATAGTACTAACCATTCATTATGGCATGATGATGTGTAACTGTGTGTGTATGTGTGAAGTGTTTCTGCACTCCTAATGATGGTTACACTGAAGAGGCTCACAAGCAGTGGATGCACCCTAATTTTCACCATTCACCAGAGCAGTACAGAAGTGTTTGGTCTCTTTGATAGAATTTGCCTCCTTTCAAATGGAAACACGCTGTTCTTCGGAGAAACACTAGCTTGTTTGCAGGTAAAAAGAATAAAGAGTTCTTCAGATCAAGTTTTTTTTTTTACTTTGGATAGTTATAAGATGGAAACACTAGCACATAATTTATTTACTTTTTTTTTTGAAATTTTTTGAAGCACTTCTCCAATGCTGGATTTCCCTGCCCAATCATGCAAAGTCCATCTGATCACTTTCTGCGCGCAATCAACACCGACTTCGACAGGATTATCTCAACCTGCAAAAATTGGCAGGTACTCTTAAAGCCATTGCTTTCGAAACAAATGAAAAATCTCTGGTTTTGCAACTTTATGTGTTTTAAACATACTCCATGAAATAAAAATTAGATTTTTTTGGGCAATTGAATGAATGATTGGGACAGGATGAACCAGGAGATTCATCTGCAGTGAACATGGACACTGCTGTTGCAATACAGACACTTGAAGTGACATATAAATCTTCAGATGCTGCAACTGCTGTTGAAAGCATGATAGTGAAGCTCACTGAGAGGGTATTTCTGTTGACTTCTTCTATAAAAAATGACATTAAAGGTTATTATTTATTGTCAAAGAACCAACTCAGCCAAAAGTTCAAGCTTGTGTTTTTTTTTGTCGCCACAGGAAGGCCCGTTACTCAAAAGCAAAGGACGGGCAAGCCTTACGACGCAAATCGTAGTATTGACATGGAGATCTGTGTTGATCATGTCAAGAGAGTGGAAATATTACTGGCTTAGGTTAATCCTATATATTCTTTTGGCTCTCTCTATCGGCACTGCATTTTCTGGGCTTGGCCATTCCTTGTCATCTGTTGTGGTATGTGTGTCAATATATACGCCAAGAAAGATGGCTCCTTTACGTTATTTTGCTTTAAAAAAATTATTTTCCCACTCAAAAAAAAATTATTTTCAATTATACCATGTAATTTTTTTTAGTTTTTTAATCATTGTAGACAAGAGTTGCAGCAATATTTTTATTCATATCAATGTCCTCTCTTCTGAGCATAGCTGGTGTACCTTGTTTAGTGAAGGAAATCAAGGTAATGTTTGTGGTTTATGATGTTCCCAATTGAGCAATATTTCTATTCATATTGATAACTTTTGGTTTTTATGAATGAACATATGTCAGATATATAGGTGTGAAGTTTCGAACCAGCATTCCGGGGCTTTAGTTTTCCTGCTTGGGCAGCTAATCTCCAGCATTCCCTTCATGTTCCTCATCTCCATTTCGTCGAGCTTAGTGTTTTATTTCGCCGCCGGGCTGCGCAACGAGTTCAACTTGTTGATGTACTTTGTGCTCAACTTCTTCCTCTGCCTCTTGGTAAACGAAGGAATGGTCATCTTCTTCTCTTCCATCTGTCTAGACGTCTTCTCCACCACGATAACCTTAGTCTCAATACATGTGAGCCTTGCTAAAACTCTCCCATTACATAGACCATATTAATAGATTGAATTCAATTGATTAGATAGTCTTTGTTCTCTCAGGTGCTCATGATGCTTACGGTTGGATACTATAGAATCCGACACGACTTGCCAAGGCCGGTGTGGATGTACCCTATGTCCTATTTGGCATTTCACACATACTCTCTCAAGGTAAGTCTGAAAATCCAATGGCTGTCGATGGGCACTGCGCAGGTTGGCAAGGCAAGGGGTGCCATGGGGGGTAAGACCCGAGTTTGATTCCTGGCAACTGCGTTGGAAGGCAACTATGCTAAACATAGGGCCTCTGCAAGTATTAGATGCGGACTCCACTCTTTGCCACCAATCTGCAATTAATGTTTAATTTATCTTTTCTCAGTGTGCGTCTGGCCCTGAGGGGGACCCTCAGGGATGGGGTTATCTTTTTTGAAAATCCAATAGCTGATAATGTGTGTTAGTGTTTCTTTAAAGGCCATTTTTGAACAAATTCGTATGCATTTCAGGGACTCTTGGAGAACGAGTACTACGACACTTCATTTGATGATGGAACGGGGAAGAGCTTGTCGGGGTACGAGGCTCTCAAAAATATGTACGACACATCTGTTTACACTGATGCAAAATGGGGAAACATGTTGGTGTTGCTTGCCATGGTTGCTGCGTATCGCGTGCTTGTTTTCGTGTCGCTACATTTTTGTGCCAGGAAAAGAATGTCCTCTCTGAATAGACTTTTCCCCTTTAGGTAAAAGAAGAAAAAGATTATACTACCTCCGTACCAGAGTATTTGTCCACTTTCATTTTTATATATCATCTAATACACTTCTTTAATCCATTTTATATTGCAATTTGTATATTAAAAAATTATAAATATTATATATTAATAATCTATATGTTAAGACAAATCAAACAAGATCACACATGATTATATTTAGGCTTACACATTGAGAGAATTTGATGAGTCAAAGTGCTTAGATGAACAGTTCCAAAAGTCAAAACTGGACGAATATTCCCGGACTGAGAGAGTACATACTACAGCAACAAGAACACTTGCTACATTGCTCTATTTGCTGTCCAAAACTTCAAAGAAAGTTTGATGTGTCTTTCTTTTATTCTTTTCAATTTTATTAGGAAGTATATATATACGGCAAAGTTTTCATGACATTGCCCAGCAATATCATGGGATGACCCGGGAGCGCTCTGGTGCCCCGTTCATTAAATTGACGTTGAATTGATAAAACATTGAATTTAAAAATAGACCATGAAAAATTAAATAAGATAGAGTGAGACAACGTCCAATTAATTTTTGCAACAATTTTTTATTCCCAAGTTCACTTCACCATTTCTTTTCGTGATAAAAAAAATTAATTCACCATAGGATCACACATTAACATTTTATAACCAATGTTATTAAACTCGGACCCGTGGATAATCCGCAAACTCATTGGTTTTTGAAGAGATGGATTGAATCGTTTTGATCTCCGGTCTTTTATTTAACCGGTTCGGTCGACTAATTCGGAACGAATTTAATAACACTGTTTATTAGAGAATAATAAAATGAAAAAAAAAATCAACTGATTGTCACTTTGTTTTGAACCGCAAGGTTTACGTCCTTGATGAACCGGCCCATATTTTCTTGGGAGGATCCATTTTTGCTAAACAGGGCATCTTCCATCGTCTTCTTCACCCGCTTCACTGCATCTCGCAGTGCTTCGCTCGATTTCCCGCCCATAATCCGTTTCACCTTCTCCGAAATTTCAGCCCTCGAGACCGGTGTCTCGTCGCACAGATTCAGCCCGCACTTCCAGTCGTCGACGATGAGTTTCCGGTTGGTGAATTGATCGGTGAGGAGAGGGAAGCAGAGCAGCGGGACGTGGCACCAGATCCCCTCGAGAGTCGAGTTCCAGCCGCAGTGGGTCAGGAACCCGCCGATCGCCGGGTGGCCCAAAACCTGCTTCTGGTTGCACCACGGCACGATCATCCCGCGGCCGGAGATCTCCTCCGTTAGATCCGGCGGCAGCGGATTCTGGTCGCCGGAGCAGACCATGTCCGGCCGGAGAGCCCAGAGGAAATTCGCCCCGCTGAGCGAAAGCCCAAACGCGATCTCCAGGAGATCCGGTTTGGAGAGGTGGGCGTAGCTCCCGAAGGAGACGTACAGGACCGAGCCGGGCGGGTTGGACCCGAGCCAGCGGGAGCAGTCGGACTCGGACCAGAGGCTGGTCGCCACCGGGCTGGCGGAGAACGCCGGGGGGAAGATGGGTCCCATGGCGTAGAACTTCATCTTCTTCTCGAGGGCCGCAATGGTGTGGGGCTCCAGCTCGTGGACGGTGTTGCAGAGGACGAAATCGGCGTCTCTGACGTCGTCGAAGGCGGCGTCGATGATTTGGTGGCAGACGGTTGCGGTGTCCTTAGCTTGGAGGTAGGACATCAAATCCCGTCGCCGGATTGATTCAACTCCGGGCACGTAGTTGATCACTTCCTCCCCGCCGGCGCCCGCATCTGAATCTGACCAGTGACCACCAAAACTAAACAATGTCAAATTCGTTCAAAATACTCGATCCGTAAAAGTGTAAAACAATGTCACACACACAAAAAAATGTTAAATTTGTTCGAAAGTGCAAATTCATTCTTGGATTCACACGTTCTATGAACTTTACTATATTTTCACTATGAAAAAGTTGGGTTTTCTTTTTTGAAAAATAGATAAAAGATCCATATGTTGAAAAATGTTAATTATTTAAAAATGAAAATTATAACCCTATATTCTCTATATGCGATCCCCATATGTGTACATCTATTGGAATAGTTGTTATCCGCATTGATCAGTATAATCACCAACTATGAATGCACGAATAACAATAATAAAGAAAATGGATAACTCTTCTCTTCGGGAACGTTCAAGTGACATTGAATTTTGATGTCATAGGATGACTCGGGGTGCTCCGGTGCCCCGTTCGTAAAATTGACGGTTCCTACTCCCCTAACCCCTCAGGAAAACCCCCCCACCCGGCCCCGACCCGAACACACCCTCTACCCCCTTCAATTGCACCCCACAAGTTGATTTTGATTTTGGAGTCAAAATTTGACTCCAAAGTCAAAATTAACTTGTGGGGTGCAATTGAAGAGGGTGGGGGGTGTGTTCGAGTCGGGGCCGGGTGAGGGGGTTTACCGGGGGGGTTAGGGGGGTAGGAACCGTCAATTTTACGAACGGGGCAGCGGAGCGCCCCCGGGTCATCCTATGACATCAAGGTTCAATGTCACTTGAACCTTGATGCTCTTATAATTTGATTGCACGATTGCATGTATTAGCTCCATCCAACTTGGCCTCAGGGTTGATGCTTGAAATAAAGACCAAAATAGAAGTAAAACATTGACTATATATCAAAATAGAAGTAGAAACATAAAATTTCCAAAATAAGAGTTCCGAAAATGGAGGCTATAGGGTGAGCCTTTAAATAGGAGTTCAGAAAATGACTATATACCAAAATAGAAGTTCAGACAATGGAGATAATTGTTATGAATCAAGGGAAGGGAATCAGCGGAAGGGATGAAGGGAATCAGCAAATTTTTTTCCCTTTCTCGATTGAGTCGTGCGCGTGGGAATCAGCAGATTTTTTTCTTATTTAATTACTCCTAGAGTAATGCTAGAGTCACAAACTACTGGGACACAAATTACACAAACTTGCTATTTTTGTACTTTTCCAATTGAATAAAGTGATATTAAATGCTTACAAAATGAAAATTGAGATACATAAATAGCAAGTTTGTGTAATTTGTGTCCCAGTAGTTTGTGACTCTAGCATTACTCTTACTCCTATTTAGAGAAGATTACGTTTGAACTCTTACTTTAAGGATATACTCCGATTTGAGGGGGTTTTCTTATGATGTTTCACCCCCTATTTATAGTTCACACATTAATCGACTCTTGTCATGATTGATCTGGTATGCGCCAACTATGGGCGAAGATTCGGTCATCAATTACCCACGATCCGTGGGATTGAGCATCTCTTGCGAGCTAATTCGCGGCCCAAAAAAAGATTTTTAAATAAAATTATACTTCCTCCGTCCCAAATTGTAATGCCTATTCACTATTCACTGGGTCAAACTTCATTTACTTTTTTTTCTATTTTCGTTGGCAATTTGATAAAATAACGTACTATTGTCACTACTAGTTTTGTAGATCTTTTGATGTAATATTTTAATATGTAATTTTTATTTTTTAATTATTTACCATTTGTCATATAAAATGATTTAAAAATAATTTCAGTCAAACATCGTAAATCGAAATAGTCATTATAAAATGCGACGGAGTGAGTAGTAAATATTTAATACTTTTTCAGTTAGGGAAGCTAGTGAGGTTAGAACTCCAATTTTTTTCATTTTTTTTATTCTTATCTGCTGCTTACATGAAGACACATACGATTAAATACGAATATGTTTATGTCGCATAAATTCTTTTAAACATATAAGTATTAAGGTTGCGTTCTGTTCGCCTAATTTGATTTTTTGAAAATTTGATCTAGTCTGATATGATTTGATCTGGTCTGATCTGATCTAGTATGATGTGATTAGATTTGATTGCAGTTATAATTACAGCTATTTCTGGTCTGATCTAATCTGATCTGATCTTATTATAATAAAAATAAGTAATAAGCAGAAAAAATAAATTGGACAGAACGCATAAGTATAGATAGATGAATTAAAAAATGGAGTACATTATAAAAATAGAAAGAATATGATCAAATACAATTAATAAGGATATTAAAATAGAGAAATTTACTTAAATAGCACTAAAACATAATAATTTTCTCTAAATAGCATCACATGTGTTTTTCTTCCCAATGTAGCACTTTTAGTACTATTTAGTGCAAATATTTCATTAAAATATGTGCATACCTTTACGGTCGTAGTGGCCATGCAAACGCAAGAGATGGAGGTGATAATAGAGCGTAAAAACCAGAGCCGGTTCGGTCCAGAAAGATATATAAAGAAGGTTATATTTCTTCGCCAGCTTCCCGGGGAAGACGAAGAACGAGTCGGCGATCAAGCAGTTGACCGGGGGACCGCCGTCCGTTGACTTCAGCAATCCCCTGAGAGCCTCCTCCACGTGTGCAGAGTACACGTGCAGGAGCGCCGCCAGGAACTGGTCGTGGTTCTCCGACCGGTCCCACTCCACCGGGAGCCCGTCCGGGATGGCGAGGTAACGGATGTTGAGCCCCGCCCGTTCCCGGATTCCGGCGAAGATGTCGTCTCCGCCGCCGCCGCGGTGGTTGTTGTTGGCGTTGCTCTTGGAGAGGTGGCGGTGCACGGATTGGGTGTTGACGAAGGTGACGGCGAAGCCGTTCTCCGCCAGCTTGTACGCCAGGTGGACGGACGGGATGACGTGGCCTTGAAGGGGATAACTCAATAACATTGCATGAGGCTTTTGTTGCAAAACTTTCGAATTTGATTCAACCATTTTTATTATTATTATTAACTAAATTGATCGATTGTAATTAATTATGGGAATCAACCCGTTATAAATATTAGGGTACGTTCGAAATGTCGCACTCCAATTTTAATAATGTGTCGCCGACGGGTATCAACCCGGGGAGGTGGGAGTGTTATGGCCACTTGCATAATCATTTTGTTCAATAATTTGGCCGTGACGGGTAGATGAGAAATCAAGGCGAAGTTGTGTCCAAATTAAAACAAAACATCTTTTAACAAATTTTATGATCATATTCTCATCACTCATTTAGAGTTTATCTCAGTGATTGGTATATAAGTTTTTGAGTTGAATGAATTTTGATACCATCTTAAGGAACCAAACCAACAAAAAGCTCAAACTTATTTT